ATAGTTCATGTAGATGCTGCCAAGTAAACTGTAGATGCATTTGATCAACTCTTCCAAAACTACTGCTACTCGCAATGCAGAACCAGGAAATTGTTGTTGATTGTAATGTTGCAGTTATGTGAAAGAGGCGTGCAGCATCGATTGCTACATCACCGACTGCACATTAAAAAGTAGTGGGAAGCCAAGCTCAAGAGGTCACAGCACCAGTCTGTGAGCTTGTTGAATGGGACATAAAGCTGCTTTGTTGCCGAGCAACTTTGCGATGTAATGCGATGCGATGTGGATTGGATGGACAGATGTATGCTTCAGGCTGCTACTCTGAACCATCATCTAAAACCTTAAACAACGATGCTACTACTCACGTCTCTGCTCTCCTGACTGCAAACAGTAACTGATGGAACTGCAGCAGCATTTGCCGGCATACTCATCTTGACTATTGGCTACTCCTATCTTCCGAAAGACATTTCATGGGCATTTGTTCCTCTGCTCAGTAGTCTCCCTGCTTCCTCTTTCCATCGATCTATTTGCTTAACTATACATTATACCACTTTTGAAGATATGAGATCATTCTGAAGTCCATTTATTATGATGAATGTTGAATTTAATTGCATCTTAGATGTAATATCCATGTTTGCATTCCCCTTTTTTCCATCTTTCGTTTTATACTGTTTTTTAGAAAATAACATTGGTAGAATATCATCTCTTTTTGTGCTAGCAGAAATCGGTTGCAATAATTGTCTGCTATAGTTCGTTACTTTGATGCTTTTAATCATCCACATTAGATAATTTGCAGAGTCTCTCCATTTCACCTCTAGTAGCTCCTTCCTTAATTTAACTTACTAGAAAAGTTATCAAAAATTTAATTTACCTGAAAAATAGCCTCATATGAAACTGAGTACAATTTGACGCTGCCTTTCTCATTATTGACGTATAGTTTTATTCATTTCATAATGAAGAAAAAAGTTTTATATCTGCCGTATTTTATTTATTTTCACCTTTAAAGGTCACTTAATGCCAGCAGAAATATGTATGCGCGATCACCAACTCTTATATGTTATCTAAAAAGTGTGAAAGAATATGAGAGATTATGCATCCAATCTTGCTCGCTCTCTTTTTCGGAGATGCGAGATAGAGTAAGGAATCATCTTTGATCTGCAAATGCAAGACATGATGCAGAGGTCACGATTGAGCAATACCTTTGGTTATAAAACTTTGTTCGCACGTATACTGCAGAAGTTGCATTTTATTATTTCAAAAATCATGCCGAAAGATTTGGCAAGCTTTTATCAATTCTCAAGCTTAATAGTAACTGCCGATCGTTACCTCCTAGAGGGTGGGGATAAGGGAACATTTCCATCTCTGAATTTGTTTTTTGTAAAGATAATTCATTTAAAAAATCAAAATCATGAGCTATGCATATTGAGACGTTGTTGCTACCAGATGAAGTGTCAGACATTCTTACAGTTTTTCCAAGTATTCCGTTGCCACTTTTCAATAGGATTTGTCAGCTACTGACATCAAAAGATAATACTTTCAAAGCCAACCCATTATGGTGACATGATAATGTTTTGAATTTCAAATTTGCATGAGTGACTCATATTTTGATTCATTTCCAACTATGTTTGTTTTATTTTTTAAAGTTTTGAAAACTTTTTGCTTTTAAAGTTTTTAAAAAAAAGCTGTACTCCCTGAAGTTGCAGTTTTGATTTCACCTTATTGTTGTACAGGTGGAATTAATTTGCTAAAAAAGTTTGCAGTCGATCTGTGGAAAAGGTTTACGAAATTTTAAAAGTTCACAAGAAATCTTGATGAAATGAAAAAAACTGCAAATTGAAATGCTGTTTTTGTATAATAGCTAAAGGTTATGAAGAAAACGTTCCTAATTGGTTTTTTTTAATGCTTAGAAATATATATTATCTCATGTATGACAGAACAAATAGATATTTGAATGTATGCAGTAGTCCTTGAGATTTTTTAATAAGAAATTTGCAGATCAGAATATTAAGTACAATCAACCGCTGCAATATTGAAAATGCCAAATTATCCGCATTTTTGTATTCATTTCCATTCTTCTCACAAAGCTGTTGAGAAATCTTTCGTATTAGATTAATATCTAATTTTTAGAATAAGCTAACTGATTTGAAATGTTATCCCAGTAATTAATATTGGAATTTCAATTTTTTAATCTAAAGCTTCCACAAGCAGTCGTTAAGGATAAGATAATAAATAGTGCTTTTCTGCTTGATTGCATGGGAATTGCAATAAAAAGATAAAATTAGTCATTTTTTGCATTATTTATCGTTCAGATATCTTAATTATTCAAATAATGGCCACTAATGTCTTATCAGTAATGTTTTACAAAATGCAAATTTCTTTCGAAATCTTGATTGTAGGAAACTTTACGAGATATCATGACAGAGTTTTCCAACAGAAATTGGGAGAGAAGTGGGTAGCATTTATTGATAACCAATGTGCAATATATGAGTTATGAATAATGAAACCACTCCAAATTTAAAGAAAAAAGAGTTTATGCAGTTACTTGGCCTATTATTTTTTTTAGATGTTGCAATAGAAAGATTTAAAAAATAGTTTTTGACATCTAAAGCCGTGCTTCTGTTGATTTTCATGACCGTTGCCATGATCCTTATATTTTTATCCTTGCAACGCCGAGTAATACTATTGAAAAATAGAATAGAAGAGGATGAAACGGAAAGGACAGAGAGGAAAGAAGACTCAGTTTGAGCCTATTGATTTTCCCCTTTCGTTTTCAATCATGTAAATTTCCTCTTTGTCCCACCTTATCTTCTGTCCTTTCGTGGCTTTCATACTTCTATAATATGACTAGTGTGATTCGTTCTAGTTCTGGTCCCATGTTGTTTCGCATCTTATTACCTAATGTAAAAATATTAGTACTGTTATTGATTTACTACAACAAACAGTGATATTTAAGTCTAAGAGATGAGTTTTAAGGGGTTTGATATCTGATTGCAAGAATTTTCATTCATCTTATTCCATGGTAAGGGTTATGTCGGAATGGTGCAATGGAATACATACAGATATATGTATATAGAGTTGCTTTTCCATTGTGCCGAGTTGCCGAACGGTTAACTTGTCAGCTAATCGATCGCATCACAAAGTAGGAAAGCAAGAAATGGAGAATAAGCGGAAAAAAGTCGAGCCTGTAATCATAAATGAAAAAAAATGGAAAACAGGTAAGGTTGTTGAAAAAAACTCCGTGGAAGTCATGGGAGAGCACTCGACCAGTGCACTTGGAATCAGCAGAACTGAGTGCTCGGCGTGTACAGCCTGAATGACGGAACACGACCCACGCGCGAATCAAAAATACAACAAAGGAGATTAACTCCGATCTGATGCACATGTAAAAGAAAGAAATGTGGAAGTCAGTTTTTGTTTTCGCTTTATTGATTCTGGCGCTAGATCGTATTGCGGCACTCTGACTGTACTTGTCCCGCGCTCAAATTTGTTGTGCTCATTATTTTCGCTTCGTCCTCCTGAAATCCATAACTAGTATCGAAGGAGATCCTTTTGACCGTCTTCTTGAGAACTATCGATTGAATGTATGCTTCGACGTGATCAAATATATTAATTTCCTTTGCTTAGCGTTTGTGGAAGTTCGTTACAATCCTATCCCAAGTCATCACATACAGAATTATTTTGGTCCTGCATTTCATTTTTGCCCCGAATTTATTAGCCAGTAAATCGTACTTTCACTTCTCGGTCTCGACTTCTATCAACCAATTCTGACCAGTGATGCTAACCTATATCAGAATTACTTCACGTTGTTTTTTATTGTGTACCAGGATGTCTGGTCAATCTGCACACATTTTTATAGCTTTCTTACTCGCGTGTCGACTTTGATTTCAACGTTCTCGTTAGCGATGATTTCCTCTATGGAGTGGCTATGTGTGCATGGAAATGTTTTTAAACCATACTTTTTGCAGAGCCCCAAATGGATGATGCATCGTAGGACCTCATTGTGTCTTCTAGTATAGTCATGATATAACATTTTCTCACACTGCGTTGCTAGATGGTCCACTGTCTTCACACGTTCTCTACATTTTTAACACATACCTTTCTCAAATCCAAACATATTTCTATCTTGGAGTTGACAGTATCGCTTCGAATAGATGATGAATCTGCAATTAAGGTTAGCTCATTACGCCCCATCTTGTATAGCTTCGCATGACGAGTTTTCTTTCCTATTTCACTATACATGAGCCATTCCTGGGTTGCTAATATGTTTACAGTGGTGGATTGTCTTGGAGGTTGTATTTAGACTCATAATAAGGTAGAATAATTATTAAGTACGTGTTATGAGCTCGTCGCTTGGCAGATACAGTCTCTCTAAAGATGAAGGTTGGAAACGAATTTTGTGTTTATTTGGAAACTGCTTGATATTATGATCTATTCTTTCGCTTAGCCGAGTTCCCGGGCAGTTGAGTTTGCGACTGGTTGAACTGTACCAGAAAGCAGGAATTGAAAAGTTAACGGGAAAAAACTAAGCTTAGAATCATAAAAGTAAGCAAATGTGATTGGAGAAAAAAGCTTTTTGAAGGATATGGAAAGCACTCGTTCAGTGCACCGGAGCCAGCAGAACTGAATGCCGGGTGAGTACAGCGAGAGCGCAGGAACACGCGCGAGAATCAAGAACGCAGATAAGATCTAATATATATATTTATATATATCATCTGAGACAGTAATCATTGGTTTTATTCATCATCTGTGATCCTTGTCACATAATTTTTACATGATTGTGGATGCTTAAGGCGGTCCTAGTCTTCGTTATCATCTCCTTACTGGTTCTGCGGATTGTTGAAAGTGTAGAACTGTATCGCTTGTGTGGGTGTGAAAGCATTTATCGATGTATGTCTTCCTCCATGTTCGCTGATTCGTCTTTATATCTTTTCTCTCTCACTTTTGTTCCATTTTCATGGTAGTACTTGAGAGGAAAGACAGCAGAGATACAGACATTCTTGAGAATGGTGAGTGACGGTTGTACGGAGGATGGTTGGGTGATTGTTGTTTGATTAATTGGTAATAAAGGTTAGGTTGATTGGTAGATTGTTGATGGACTGATTGATGGTTATTTATTCTTTGCAATTTTGTCTCATATTGATAATGGTATTGTATGAATTTTATGATGCCTGTTTATTTTTGGTATTTGTGAGGTTATAGGAAGTAATGTTACTCATGTTACCTTGGAATGCTATAAAAACTGATTTTACGCTGTCTGTTGCTCAATTTTGGTTCGGTTTCCAAGATATTAAATTCATTTCTGTAGTACTATTTTGAAGCCTGCATCTCATTTGCTTGTTCGTCGTAGTTATCTTATTCATTGCTTAAATCTAGCTGTAGTCATCGCCATGTATAGTACCTCTCATTAATTGGTAGTGATGATTGTGTTTTGATTAATTTTTTGTTTATGTAACTGGACTTACATGACGTGAACAGAGCAGGTTTTTCATTCCATGTGCTTATAAGTGATGAGAGAAAGCCTGCAAATAATGTCTAATAACTGAACTTGTGCTTATTCTACTTTTAAAATTATTTTAGCAAGAAACGCTGAGTTCAGGAGAGGGAGTCTTTGTTGCATTCGCCAGGCGCTGAAGCGAGGCCTAGTGATATTAGCAGTAAAGCCGAGAAATTCACCTCCAGTACCATCACTAACACTATTACGGCCACTGATACTACTGCTGCTACTACTACTCTCACTGCTACTACTGCTATCTCACAACTGTACTTCATTCTTCTGGATACAATTTCTCGGCTACAAAATATTGCTAATTTTCTCTGACTCAGTTTGACGACACGATTTCTGAAGAAATATACATCGGGAACAACCAAATATCATCGTTCCACAACAAAAAATATCTAACGCTGGTATTCTTTTATTATTCAGTTTTTACATAATAGAATATTTTTTGTTGTTGTAGAACAGTTGTTGTTCTTTGTTCCTTGGACAAGCTAGTTTTCATTAAGGCTATAATGATTTATTACATCGAAAATAAAAGTTATTTTCAGTTATGCAGAGTTGAGATTATCAATATTTTGAAGCTGTATGAGGATATCAGGAAATATGTAATCAGTTTTATTTTCTTTAGCATTGGATAGTTATTTTGTGCTTTAGTGTTTTGTTTTATAAAACTTTTGGTGCATATTCTCATTTGTTGTCGTCAGTTACAGTTTGCGAGCTGCAAGAGATTGTCACATGCGTACCTAAAACAAGCTGTAATTGTATAAAAATAAAGGCATCAAACATAACGTTTCTAGTCATCGATGTTTTAGCAATATTTTCCAGTCAGACTATGATCGAAGTGTTGGCTCGAAGTGCTGTTGTTGAAGCAGCAACACTTTCATCGGCTACTAGTAGCAGTGTAATTGGTATTTTTATGCTTCCATATTGTGTTTTACTTGTGATAAACATATAGCATTCCACTAAGTGCAAATTTTCTTGTACCTCTTGAAAAGCTGTCTTTTTTAAGGTTAAAGGGAGAAGTACTTGAAAAATAAACTGGTGCTGCCTACTGAAGCAGCAGGAATTTTATTAGATGTTAAAAGTAATAATGTTTGAGGAGGTGGTTCCTCAACGTCATCTGGTGTGTCGTCAGCTTCAAAGCATCTTTCCTCATCAGTCTCTACACTTTCTGTCATTGGTCAAGGTGTTGAATTACGACAACAGATTGTTAAAAGTCCTTCTGATGAGTCTCTAAAGTGAGTGAGTCATGTTATCTATGCATATTGTTTCTTGTTAAGCTATATTATTAGTGTCGTATGGTTAATATGTTTTCTGGTCTCGCACGTCATCTTCTGGTGGCAGTGGTGTTGGCAACTGTAGTGGAACAACAAACGCGGGTGCCACTAACGGAAATAAGGTCTTTCTTTTATTTTTTTTTTACATAATCTTATTAAATTGATTCATGATGTGAACGGTATATGTGTTTTTCTCGTTAAGTGGTTGCTTGCATATTTTTCTATTCTATGCCCTCTTTAATGTTAACTTTGTTAAAAAAACGCAAAAATAAAATAGGGATATCGGCCGGAAGACGCTGTGCGGACGTTTGGGAATAAGCTCACACCTTTTGAAATCTCAGAAATTTACAATTATCCTCGTGTCTATTTTGTTGGATCTCAAGCAAAAAAGCGCAGTGGTAATGTCAATTCCCAGAATAATTGTGGTTATGATGATGACATGGGAAGTTACCTTCTTGTTGCACATGACCATATTGCTTATCGTTATGAGGTGCTAAAAGTTATCGGTAAAGGAAGTTTTGGTCAGGTTTGTGTTACTATCTTTACTGTTGTGCAGGTTTCTTTATTTCTGGTGATATGATGACTAGGATTTTTTTTCCATGTATTCATCTTTATCTTGGATATTCATTTGATAATAATGAAGTTTTAGTGGAGTTCTGTTTGTAGGTAATAAAAGCATACGATCATAAGCATCAGAAGTATATTGCATTAAAATTAGTTCGCAATGAGAAACGCTTCCACCGTCAGGCAGAAGAAGAGATTCGAATTCTTGTATGTCTACTGATTTTGTTAGAAAATTAAAAACGGTCCTCATTTTGTTGATGTACGTAATCAGATCAAATTATCAATGATCATTGAACAAACAGTTATGTTATATTAATTTGAAGACATAATGATGATCCTCTAAGAAATCTTGCTGTTTGAATTTCTAGTAGTAATAATGAAAACAAGGAAATGCATTTTGGATTTTTATTGCTCATTAATTCATTTACATGTAGTTTTTGTACCTCTCACATGAAAATTTTTTAATAAAAGTATAAAAGACTGCTTTCGATCTAGTGAGGATTTCAATCAGCCGTTTAGCTGAGTTTTACTTAGTCAATGTCTTTTGTATAGTAATCGCTATGCTGAACATTAATGTGAAGTTATGGCAATATTTTTCCATTGTTAGAAATCAAATATATGATATTGATGATTTCAAGCCACATGTTTTATTACTTTTTTTATTAGCCTCTTTTAGGATCATTTGCGAAAACAAGATCCAGAAGGTATTTACAATATAGTTCATATGCTGGACCACTTTAATTTCCGAAATCATAAGTGCATTACCTTCGAGTTATTAAGCATTAATCTTTATGAGCTTATCAAGAAAAGCAAATTCCAGGGATTCAGTTTGCAGGTGATGCAGTCATTTTTTTTTACTCCTTTCATTATACAGATTAGAAAATTTTCTTTTATTACGAGCAAGTGATCAAACATGGCTTTAAGTTGATGAAGTTTCATTCGTTTGTAAACATGCAGTGAATTCTTTCTAGTTGATTGTTCATCTATGTTTTATGGGCTATTTCATTTTAATTCATTTCTTAAATGCGTTCCACTTTAACTATTATATAAAACAGAATATCCCGAGACATGATTTGCAAAAGGAAAAAGATTCAGGTCGTTCGCAAGTTTGCTCATTCAATGTTGCAATGTCTTGACTTGCTTAATCGTAATCGGCTTATTCACTGCGATCTAAAACCGGAAAATGTTTTATTGAAACAACAAGGCAGAAGTGGCATTAAGGTTTTTTTAATTCAGTGCCTTGATTATTCAACCATGGGTTTTATTTTGTTGTCAAACTCACTTTATGAAAGTATATACAGAATATTGAATCTTATTTTCAGGTTATTGATTTCGGTTCATCGTGTTTTGACGATAAGCGAATATATACATACATTCAGTCGAGGTTTTATAGAGCTCCAGAAGGTAAGTCGAAATTTTTTGGATCTCTTAGTTCCATTTTTATAAATCTTTGCTCATGAATGTTTGTAATTGCAAAGAGAAAGGTTTGTTTACATCTAATAATTACTAAAAGTGAAATGCACTACAGTGATTATGGGCGGAAAGTACGGAATGCCTATTGATATGTGGTCGCTCGGATGTATACTAGCTGAATTACTAACTGGGTATCCGTTGTTACCTGGGGAAGATGAAAGTGACCAGGTTCTCAGTCATTTTTCAATATTATTCATAATGGAGGTAATGTGATCGCGTGAAATATTTTGCAGATGAAGTTATTGAAGTACTTTCTTCATTTAGTTCATTTTTGACTGAAATTGAATTATATAAAATATATTTTAGTATTTCCTTTTGTTTCAGCTGGCTTTAATAATTGAATTGCTTGGTGTACCACCGCTTAAAATCACTGAAAATGCCAAGCGAACACGTAATTTTATATCATCTAGAGGATATCCACGCTACTGTACAGTAACGACAATGCCTGACGGATCTGTGGTAGTTTCCGGTGGACGATCTAAACGCGGTAAAATGAGAGGACCACCAGGAAGTCGATCGTGGAGTACTGCACTGAGAAATCAGGCACCGCATTCATATTTATTTTCAGAGTTAATTACCGAAGGATATGATATTCATTGAATATTTGGAAAATACTCTACCTAATGCGTATACATTTGTTTCAGGGCGACGACTTCTTTATTGATTTCCTGAGGCGATGTCTCGATTGGGATCCAGATGCCAGACTGACTCCTCAGCAAGCTTTAAAGCATCCTTGGTTGCGAAGGCGGTTACCTAGACCACCCGAATGCTATGCTAATCTTGTTTCGATGGAAACTAGTACGGATGCTCCTCTCGGTGTGTCTCTGATATTTTGTAAATTAAAAAATACTTCTGATTTTTTTTCGAGTTTAATTATTTAAGTTAGTATCTTTTGATTTTCTGCGAAATAATTCGTAGGATCCAAAATAATTTCATGTTAATGGATCTTTTTAGTTTTTACATGTTTTCACGTTTCAGGTCCCAAATTGCCACATATATGATCAAATTGACGAATTTAGTTGATTTTTGACTTTAGAATGAATGGTTGATTGTTCCTTCTTAATAATTCGTTTTCCTAATGTAAATGGACTAGCATTTTCGTGTTATCAATTCATCATTAATACCAAGTCAATGTGAGATGCAAAGAAATTTCAGTTCTTCATCTTGCCACTCAATGTATTTCGTCAGTAGCAGTCGATAATATATTAAAATGTGATTTATTTGTTAACGATATTCTGAAAATTCAAGTCTCTTGTTTCTGTTACGTGTACTTTAGGAATGATTTTGTAGATCAAGTCCTCCATGAATCAGAAACCAAAGATGAAGTTAGCTGTCCTTTTTCATCTTCAAGTGAATTATAGTACTGTAGATCAAGATATTATTGCTTTTTTATAGAAAGTTACGAGTTTTAAAGAATGATTTTACAATAGCTCTATTTCTTTTATTTCAGTAGCTGTTAAAGTTGTGAGATGAGAGAACTATCAAATGATTATCTTTCGTTAGACTTACTGGTTTTAATTAACTTATTTGTATTTATAAACTTTAGTCACAACATATTTTGAACAGGATTACTTGTGTCTCGGTCTTGCTGCTTCAGATTCTAGAAATACACCTCACTATATTTGTCTTCGTAATAACTTTTTAAATAGAAGCTTTTGTTGTGTTGGTTGGATTAAATAGAAGATATGTTTAGAAGCAGTTATCAAAATTGCTTTTTGCTTGAAATTGTCCTGAGTGAGGTCTGCATTTGCTCAATTGTGTTCTACTACTAATTACACAAATTATAAATCATAATTTAGGATGGGTGTATTGAGAACTACCATAAAATGAGCCGATTCCATTTTGTCTCCGAATACTTTTTCTCTAAACTAATCTTGGTGTTATATTTGTGGTGCCCTAAGCAGGGACATTTTGAAATCTATTGCAGTAGATTACTTTATAAACTTTGAGGGCTTTGGTAATAATGAAATTCATGGGTATGCAGTGCTTTCGTAATCTTTGTATTTAATTAAATTTTTCTATCTAACAACATGGCGATTATTTTTTTGATTTCCTTGTTTTTCTTATTCTAGTCACTTCTTTTGTTCTCTTTTGGTTATTATTTTATTATTCATTGTTTTTGGTATGTGTCAGCTTACTGACTAATCGCAAAATTGTTGTTGTTAATAAAAGTTCGTATCGAAATGTGGTTTAGTTTATGGGGTGAGAGTGTTGTGGTATTTAAAAATCCTTTTCTGTGTTACCTTGTAGAATTCAAAGAATTAACTATCAATGATGCGAAACTGCTGATTCTGTCTGTATCCTTCGTGAACACTTCTGACGTGAAATTGTATTTTTTGTTGAATGTTTTGATTTCAAAATTAAATTAGTATTCGTTTTTGTTCATTTTGCAGAGTAGTCTTTCTCGAGGCAGCTGTTCCACTGCAATCGTAAGTCTTGTTTAAGTACTTGATGAAATAAGAGAAACGCCGGAGAATTTAAGTTTGCTCCATTTTATATTTAAGAAAAAACAGGCAGCTTATTAGCTTATACTGCAGGAAAGTTGATATCTTGCATTCTTAACATAGCATGAGCAATGGTCTCCTGTTTTATCGTTCATCCAAATATGGCTATAATTTCTCGTAGTCAGGTGCTTATTTTAGTGCTTCCTTTAATCAGTATTTAGGTGCATTTTGAGGTGATCATTGGCTGGGGGACTTGTTTTAATTTTCTGAACGTTGTAGTTTTGTGTTATTACACTTTTTTTGAATGATGAATTATGGAAATGTCCACTGTAAGATCAGTTTTTCTCATACAACTTGAGTATATAGTATCATCGTTCTGAGAATGCAGTCGTTGAAGATAATCAGATCTTACATTTTCATTCAGTTTGTATTCTCATTTAAATATTTTTTATTTGCAATCTCAGTTAGATGCTCGTTTTTTAATCTCGAATATTGTTCATGTTTGATCGGTTTGTAACGTATTTCATCTTTGTTTATATTATATGCAATTATAATTGATCAAAGCTTTTTTTCTGCCAAAAAAAAAAAAGAACGCCATTTGTTTATATGCATGAATCTTCTGTCCCTCATTTATATGCATGAATCTACATATATCTCAGAAACTTGCGATCCAAGCCTTGCACTTAAGCAGGTACTCGTGATTAACTGAATCGAACGCTTTTTTAATGTCGTACCATGTAGTAGATAGCTGATTCCCATTCTCTCTGTAAACCGCCAGTACCTGCCTTTTCTCACCTTGAACCGAGACAACAGTTCCTGCAAGTTATCCTCTCGTGATAACATCTAAATGCAAGAGTCGTGCCACACATTTCGTTGTAAAGGTAGAGCATACCAAGTTACTAGTCTGAAGTCGTTGCATTTACTTGAGACACCTTCTGGAATCAGGCGGCAGTTGCATTATAGGACCATGGATCTTGTTACTCCCCATCTAGGTAAATTTGTCTTATTATTCTATACAGGTCTGGATGCAAAGAGTCACACTTCTTATTGAAGAAGTTGCAGACTCCATTAGAGCCTGCTTTCCAATCATTTGGTCTTCCCCATCCTCGAGTTCCACATCATACCCCAGGTATCCTTGATTTTTTCTGTCCGTACATTGTGGCTGACGAAGAATTCTTCTGTTAGATTTCTATAACACCATTTTCGGAACAGTTTTGGATTTTAAATGCACATCGGAACTCATAACTTTTAATTTTACTTTCGTATCTCATACGGGTCTGTCAATATGCTTAACGATTCGTGAAAGTCACACTTAAGAGCAAGTATGAGGTTCATCTCCCTAATACATTTCTTGGCCTCTTTTAAATCTTACCTCCAAGTTTTTCACCAGCCAAAGTCTGTTCTGTGAGGGATTTGTGGAAATTCAACAAGCTTCTTTTCTATGATTGCTTTCAACATCGATGGCTTCTTCTCTCGCCTCGTCATGTCTTCATAGAACACTGTTGTGCTGACTGGAGCTGCCTTGCAATGTCAGTCATTGACTTAAGGGGATTCTGTGTAGCATATTCACCCGCCACTTGGTTTACTGCTCCAAGTATGAACGGTTTCACGCTCTCCGATGTTTTTTTCCGTGTCCACTTTGTCTGGTTTATCTCGCGTCCCTGTGCCTCTTGCATCAGCACTAGATATTTTTCCTCCACATCTAGATAAACCTTAGACTCGTGTAGCGTATTTTCCTCGAAGTGCGTATTTTGTAGATCGATACGCTTCGTGAACTTCTCCAAGAACCGTTTCTGTGAGCACAGACGACCTGCAATACTGGCGATCACAGAATTCGCTTGTTTCTTCAGTT